CATTTTTCTCGTAACTTTCATTTTGAATTATTCTTTCAGCTTTCCTTTGAACTTTCATCACTGTCTATTGGGCTGTCGTTTTGCCCATCGTCTGAATATCTGTTTCAGATAGAGGTCATATCTGTCTGTTGGCTTGTGACATTTTCCCAGGGAATAACCTTGCATTTTCTGACGTTCTTAAGTTCGTCCCTTTGGAGCAGGAAGTAGTCGATCTGTCTGTTTTTCTGCGCGCTATTGTGAGTTAGCAGTTGGCTTTCACTTTTCTGGAAGAACATGTTTATCATAGCCAGGTCACATGCAACTTCTTCTGAAGATGATCTCTCCTTCTTTATTTAACATACCACATCCATGTCCGCCATGGGTCCTGTCAAAACTCTCTCCATGTTTCAGGTCGTGCTAGTTAACTTCACTCCGATTATCATTTTTTCATTTCACGGAATGTTTTGTGTTACAATGTCTAGGATCTTTAGGATATCGACTGTTAGATTCATTCTGACCAGTCAGAGAGGCTTTGGCATCTATCATATTTAATATACTAATGCTACCGTCAAGACACTGTACCGTATGTAGATAGGAAAATCAGAAAAGGATTCACTAACGGTACTATGGCAATCCGGGAATGAAAGGGAAGTCATCTCATGACTGTAACGCAAGCAACAAAATGCAACAGACTGTGATTATAAATTCGGGCTGAAGGAGTTTAGATTACCATCTAAGGAAAGCCGAATATCGTGAGACAAATTCGAGGAAATGAGACTTATAGCAGTTTTTGTATACGAATATGAGTCAAAGCTTCACGGTTAAACATCAGTCTGTGAAGTAGAATGCAAGTAGGCAAAATGTTTGTAATTCTCCTGTTTGTGAGTTCTGAAAGATACCATCTCTCACACAAAGAAATTGTGTGCCATATTCAATATTCATATAGTAGATTGTGCAAAGCATTAGTACAGTATATAGCATTGCATTATAAATAAAACATATAACATATAAAAGTTCAAGGCTGTCATACATCAGACTTTTTAGACGATTTCTGATCTTCAAGCGCGCCGTTTTTAACTGTGATTTCTTTTGGCTCTCAGCGTCGACGTAGGTGGAATCGACGGGTTTCTCGGTGGAACGAAACGAATTCAAGAAATCTGATTCGATGCTGGCGACAGTTTCTCGCCATAGACGACAGACGCGGTCTTCACACCACGTGATCAGTGCGTTAACGAAAAATCCGCTATAAATTTGTGCCGAAATCAAAGCAAGAATTAGCATAAAAATTTGACTTATTCATATTATAACTAGTGATAGAGATAATAATAACTAGATATTATAACTAGTGATTTTGTTAGCATCAATAATAGTATTAGCTATATCCCCTGAGGAGATCATAGCCCTGACGTAACGGTATGGCTTAAGTGTTTCGATGGACTTAATTAAAGTAAAAAATAACACTGATCGCGGACACTGTATGGTAGTTGGAATGCGATATAATTCTATATATTGCTTATATTATATTGTATAGCTGGAATGTTTTTGCTCGCCGTGCTAGGGTTCGGATACACTTCGCATATAACAGGTTTCCAGAGATGTTGCTCCTACAGAAAAATACACGAAATCCACCGATTTTTTAAGCAGTCAGATTTCGCTGAGTGTCCTTTCAAAAAAGCTATTGCAACTGGAAAATGTCAATCAAAAAGGGCATAAATGAAATATTTGGCAAATATGTAGTTAAAATTTTGTTTGTATCTAAAAATGTTGACGACAATGGCTTGATATCGAGGCTGAGCAATCGTTCATCTCCACGATAACCTAAAACGACATTAAGCATTCATTTCATGTTAGTCAAAACAAATCTAATCTTGCAAGATGATTTGCTAAGGTAACGGTTGGAATAACACTGTTTTCCACACTCTGTGTAGGAAGTAAGCATAAGTCTAAGCCAAACATAAACAATAGTGAAGCGTAGGTCTAAGTCTATCCTTAAGCCTATACTGAAGCGTATGCCTAATTCTAAGCTTAAAACAAACTGAAGACAAAGTTTATGCCAAATCCTAAGCCAAAGCCAAAACTTTGGCTTGAGCCTAGGTTTAAGCCTAATACTAAACTTAAGAATAGCAATAAGCACATTCTTAAGATTTACCTAAGATTAAGGCCTAGGTCCAAGCCTAAGTTTAAGGCTAAGTTACATCGAAGCTCACGCCAAAACTAACGGCTAACATGAAAACTATGTATATGCCTAAGGTTAACGCTAAGATTAAGCCTAAACTTTAGATTAAGCTTAAGCTAAGGCCTAATGCCTAACATGAGAACATTAATATGCACAACCTTAAGCGTAACCTTAAGCTTCAACTGAAACCCACGCCTTAACTTAAGACCAAGTTATACCTACGCTTAACTCTAAGCTAAGGGCTAACATAAAACCTAAATCTGTACCCAAGCATAAACTAAGTCACACATAAACACGTTTTTTAACGGTTCTGCAGCAACTCAAACTCCCAAACGAAAGAACCATGATTTCTATTTTCAAAGTTTACCGCGGCATATGTCTGCCTGGCCGGCGCCATTCTATGCCTATCACGGCTTTCGGGTGATCCAAATAGACAAAGTTATATGAGACGTTTGGTTGCCCATCAGACTCTGGACTGATTTCCTGGTACCAGATTTTCACAAGGTTATCGTCCTAAAACGTTTGTGTATGATTAAAGAACAGAAAAATATAACTTTGCAAAAATAAGCAAGATATCGAAAATATTCACTTTTCCGTTCGTTGCGAAGAACGCTCCGTCTGGAGAGAAACGCATGATCCTGAGTGGCGAGTTCAGTCTAAAAGACATACGTAATTAGTCAGCAAAGTTTACTATCCGAGATTTAATGTACGTGTTAAAAATACATCAGTAAATGCAAATGTATTCAAACCGTTGGTTATTTCCATTTTTATTTAGCAGCATCGAAAAATATTGTTTAGAGAACGAATGTGTGGATCGACTCAATACCAAAATCTTTAAGAAAGCGAAAGGAACAGCTCAAAAACTCAATGATGCTTGCGCCTAAAAAGCATTTACCGCGGTGCTGAAAACATGTTGCTCAATCGAACAAACAACACTTACCTTGACGAACGTGTCAAGGTCCATTCGAGGAGGAGCATGAAGGGAGGAAACCTAGGAATGCATCAGAAGTTCACTAGGTTGTTTTGAGGAAAGTCAGCAATGTGTTTGTGCCTACAA